AAACTTCGTGGTTATGCGGGTGTGATAAGCAACATGCTTTGTTTTGTTTTCCTTGTTTAGTATTTGCAAACAATGAACATACTAAATCAGAAAGGACAAAAACGGGTGTTAGGGAATTATCTCATATTAGGTAAGCATGATTTTGCATTATTTCTATAATTTAAACTTGATGTTTCTTTCTTACACTGTATTAATCGAGGAATTAATATTTTAAATTATAACGAGCCACCACTACCTTTAATTAAAAAAATCTAATTAAATATGGGGATTTAAGGGGGGTTGAAATTAAAATTAAAAACAAAAAATCAAAAATGAAAAGCGATATCAACATTTTTAGTAAAAATCAAGCCCTATAAGGAGATGAGGTATTGATTGTGAAAACAATCTGGTAGAAAATGGGTAGTTAAGGGAGTCTGTTAAACTGCGAAAAGTATCATTTAGAATGCCTGGCATTATATATCTTTAATCTAGTTTGTATTTGTGTAATAGTATGTATTGTGATGGGACTGATCTCATAAAATAAACATTTAAAACATTTTAGTTTTTATTTTAATTAAAAGTTATTATTTTAAAAGGTATTTAAAAAATATATTTTTTATTTGACATGTGTGACAAAATGTGAAAATGATTAAATTTACAATAAAAACTGAAAAATGGTAGGTAAAGTTTCATATAATATTTTTTACACAAAAATCAATGTCAAGCTTTCTACATAACCTTATATATATATATTTAAAAATAATCTCAAATTATGAAGAAAAGTCAGTTAACTAATAATGTTTATAGGTGGTTTTCAATGAATTAAAAACAAAACAAATATTACACTAACTAAAATTTTCATTTATTAATAGTTATAGTGCTTGAAAATAGTATGATGTTGATAATAACTACATTTAATACAAACTCAAATAATAATAAAAACAGCGATATTGGCTCTTTTACAAAGTTTTGGGCCGAACTTACAAAAATGATCAAATTATTGGAAAAAGTGAACACCCAATTCAAATTACCACGAGCCGCCACTGTACCTAAATGTGGGAAAAAAGATGCAGCGGGGCCAATTGAATTTAATTTTTTTTGGAGACAAAAACGATAAATATTTTAACGCTTTTATTTCTGGAGTGTTGAAGGGAAACCGTTTGTAAATCTGGTGAGCACCCTCAACATAAAAATCTAAGCATTTTAGTAATACATTTTATTTCTCCTCTTTATTGAGGACGTTATTTTCAAAGGCAATCGCTACTTTTGGACCACAATAAATATTTTCTAAAGCTTTATAATGCTCTGGGTTTCGATACTGGATTGCTGAAACATCTGCCTTATTTACATAGTCCGTTTTTAAATAACATTGTAATAGTGTTTTATAAGCTGTAGCCATGCGCTCATACAAAATATGAAGTTTTGGAGATTCAGATTGAAATTCCAAATTTAAGTCATTAAAGATTGGTAACACATATTCCAAAAACTCCAAATAAACTTTCATTAGTGGATTACTTAAGCTGTTAAAAATTGCTGACGATGCTTGCACATTATCGAAATGTTGTCCTTGGAAATATAATTTTAATGCGTCATATTGTTCTAAAGTTCTAACAATTACCGCGCTAAGGGACAACCAGCGCGTCTGAGAAGGATGCAGTAATTTGTGTGGCTTTAAGTTGCAAAAAACTTGAAATTCTTTAAATTCAGTAAATCTCTTAAAACTGTACTGCATATAAGTAAATATATCACGAACTAATTTTTCGGCCTCATCAGGCGATTTCCAACAAGCGTAAGAAGCACACAATGCCAATGAGTGGCATATGCATTTTAATACAAATAAATGGGGCACATCATTCATTAACATAGTTTTTAATAAATGATGCACACCCATCATAATATTAGCTCCATCTGCAGCAGAATCAATTAAATTATTTTTAAAATTAATATTGTGTGAAGAGAGAAATTCTGTAATGACATTGTATAAATTTGCTGCAGATGCATCACTTACTGACAAAAGCACTAAAAAATTATCAGTAATATTAAAATTAATATTAAGACGTACTACGATAGCTAAATTTTTAATCGCACCATGATCGGTAGATTCATCTACTAATAATGAAAATTTATTATTTTTTAATAAATCTACCAATATTTCAAAACTGGTTTGACCTATTGCATTATTTATTAATGCAGTGCACTTGGTCCTATTACAGGATATCTTTTTTACAGAATTTTCGTCTAGATTTAAATTTTTTGTCAAAGATACTAAATGATCTATAGCAGTTATAGCAATATTGTGCTCAATGAAAGAAGCTAATCTAATTTCTGCCAATTTTACAGTCTTTTCGGTTGAGCTTTGCTGTTTAAAAAATTTCATTTCTTTTACAGCCTTCTGCTGTTTTACAGCATTCAGGATTTTTACGTGTTTTAATGAAATTTTATGCTTTTTTACCGCCGCTGCGTGCACTCGTGTTTTTTTTTTTTCAAGTTAAAATGCATTCGAGAATATATTTTCAAAAAATAATTGTGTAATGCACTCGTATTAAACTGAAAACATCTAATTTGCTAATTAATTAAATTATTTGAAAATTTGAAAAAGTATGAATGCGCCCGACTATAATAATAGCAGTATGGAAAATTCAGGAGTCAGCCCCAGAAAATTTAAACAGCAAATAACTTCCGAATTACGAGATTTGTAACGAATGAACTAACACAAAGCAAAATGCAAATAACAACTCAGACTACTCGAGACGGGGAATTACAGAGTTGGCCCAGACGGGGAATTACAGAATTCTCCGATGATTGCGAAGTAGTTTAGATCGCGTATTTGCTAAAAAATCACCAGATTTTGTAGTTTTATTAAAAGTTTTTCACCAATCACCAAAAAGGTTCCAAAATCACCAGATCTGGTGAAATTTCACCAAACCTGGCAACGCTGCGATGTATTGATCTGTCGATGGATCGCTATCTTTTTTCGATGTTGCCATCCCTAGCTGTGTCTCCTGTGTTCGCAACTTCGCGTTTTTCATCGCGTCGAGCTTAAGCGGGGTTTTCCTAGCAAAGCACATTTTACGCGACGTAGAACGTAATTCGGTCGGCGTAAAACGCTGAGGACATGTCTAATGAAAATCAAATGGAATCGTTTTCCTACAGGGCGCAAAAACGACTTGCGTCGCGTAACACGGTAGACGCAACGGGACGACTGCTCGGAGAGCAGTCTATTCAGTCGTACGCTACGTTTTAAAAGGAATATGCTTCTAATTTGCAACAAAATGACTTCACAAAAACAACAAATTTGTTTTAGTGCTACTGAGGACGAACAATTAATTGAAGTCGTTAGTGGTTATCCTATGAGAAAATGTGGTTATAATGTCAATTTCTTCTTGCAAAATTTCATCTTGCAGTATTAAAAATGCCAAAGCTAATTTCTTTTTACAATTATTTGACCCACTCATCGCGATGATCAGGACGCAACTGACAATCCTAGGAAAACACTTTTACGCAACGCGTTGGATGTTGCGTTGCGTCGGCCGTATTACGTTCTACGCTGCGTAAAATGTGCGTTGCTAGGAAAACGCCCCTTTATTCAAGTCATTAGTCGATCGGCAGCGATTTTGACTTTGCAGTATTTGCTATAAGGAAGCGCACAATTTTTATGCTTGTTGTTTTAAGGAGTTTTAGCACATTTGATTTCTTAAAATATTATCTTTACATTTTCTGAAATGATAGTAATATTGTAATCGATACAAATTCTTGAGAATGTTGACTATTCGGAATGAAACCTTCAAGGGTGTGCATGTTTATAATAACAACATTATAACGAACGAGACACAAGAGATGCAATGAATTTTTGAGGGAAGAGATCATTCTGATTATCGCATTGTAAGGAATCTGTCTGCGTTGTCGGCTAATTACACTTTTTCTATTATCTTTATTTTTATATTTTTGTGTTAAAGACAATTTAATTACCTTTTATATTCTTTCTACTATAATCATAGTTTTAGTGTTTTATTTATAGGTAGTTTACAATATTATTAATTTAAGTATTTGCGTGCTCTTTTTGACGTTTTTTAGATAAGTAATTAATAATTTATAAATAAATCTAATAGATAATTTTTATAATCAGTAGTGCAACTGCCATCGTCCGAGGCGATGCCACGGGGCCCCATGATTAGCTTGTTTTGTTTTGTTAGAAAAATGTAATATTTATCAGTGCAGAACAAAACAAATCCGGCGAGCAACAAATAATTATCAATATTATCAATATTTTAATTAATGATTTAATTTTATTTGGGACGTTTAGGCAGAGGGGACCCTGATAATTTTTTTGCTACAGGGCCTTAGAGTGTCTTGTTACGCTACTGATTATAGTAGTCGTATATTCACTATCCGAACTATTATTATTTTTTTGGAAAACGCCAAATAGTGTACATAACTTGCATAAAAGACTCCTGAGCAATGGCGGTTTGTTACCAAAATATTGGGAGTTCACAATGATAGAATATAGATGTCAGTACAGATTTAGGTAAAATATTTTCTGTGTTTTGAAAAGGTATATTATAAACATTGAAAATATTTTACCTAAATCTGTACTGTCATTGTGAGCTCCCAATATTTTGGTCATAAGCCGTCACTGCTCTCCAGCAGACTCGTATAACTTACGCACTCAAATGTTGGCTTGTCTGTGAAACCCTGTACTCGTTTTCGTGTCTAAAAAGGAACTTTCGCTTGTTATGTCACTAAGGGCCATTTCCACCGCGAGTCGTTAATAAATAAGCCAAGTTTAAAATAACATTTTTAATGAAAAAATGTCATTTTCAACCCCGTTTATTGTTTAACTACTAGTAGTGGAATTGGGCCTAATGCAGTAATTTTACTTTCAGTATGGTACCTATTGCTAAGAGAAGGAAAATAAGTTTTCTTTGGACTCTTTCACGGCAGTGGTTGACACCTTTCCAACATGTAATTTGTGTAGGTCGAAACTGTCCTACAAAACCAGTACGACAAAGTTAAAAAGACATATGCAAATAAAACATCCTACAGTCTCTTTGAATATAAATAATGAATCTTCTGCAACAGAGAGACAGGAAGTAAGTTTTTTTTATAAAAATAATTTTTTTTTGTACACCAGCAAATGAATAAAATTATTATTTTGCAGGAAAATGTCGAGACCTTTATATATAGTAATAATACTACTGGTGATTCAAATCCATCAACAAGTCGAGAAAAAATAACAAGTAAAGATAATACAGTTTCATTAGAACCCACAAAATTATTTGCTCAAGGTGCCCAGTCAGAACAGTCATATCAAACTGACATATCAGTTTTTATTCCGAAAAGGCTAACTCAAAGAGGAAAGCAAATTATTGACGAAAAGTTAATTCGTCTTTTTACAGATACCTATCAGCCTTTTTGGATTATAGAAAAACTGCCTTTCGTGGGTTTATTAAAGCTCTTAATCTTACATTTGAACTACCCAGTCGACACATGATTTCAAGAACTCTTATACCGGCTCTATATAAGAAAAGCTCGAACAAAACCAAAGAGTTATTAAAGACTGCAAAAAGTTTGCATTACCAAAGATGCTTGGACATCTATAAACATGGAAAGTTTTGTAGCTGTAACAGTCCATTTTGTAACAAACAATTTTATTCAACTATCCAATTTACTTGAATGTGTAAGTCTGTCAATTCAGAACACTGCTATTAATTTAGCTGATGAATTATGAAGGATACTTACATACTGGAATGTAATTATTAAAATTATTATGATAATTTCAGACAACGCTGCAAACATTAAGGCGGCAATTAAAAATGAAATGGGTTTTAAACATTTTGATTGTTTTGCTCATACAATAAACCTTTTGATAACAGATGGGTTAAAAGAAGTAGATGTATCGCGGATCGTAACAAAAGTAAAACACATAGTGGGACTCTTTAAAAGAAGTTACACAGCTATCCAAAAGATTTTGGTATATCAGTAACAACAGAACATTGCAAACCATTAAAATGTTTACATGTTGCAACCCGATGGAACTCGACGTTCTCTATGTTAGAGACGTTTATTGTATTAGAGGATGTAATAAAAACAACCATGGCTTTAACAAACATTGGCGAAGTAAATAAGCTTACAATAGACGAATGGGCCATTCTTAAGAAGTTGTGTCAAGTCCTAAAACACTTTGAGAAAGTTGCCAAAACAATTTCAGGGGAGGAATATTTAACTGCCTCTCTTGTAATTCCGTTGGCAAATGAACTTCTCTCGGTCTACAGAAGCTTTCTAAATAATTTTTCTAGACTGTGTAAAAAATCTTGTTATAATATTGAACAGGTCATTTGATGAAAGGTGTGGCAATTTGGAAAATAGTAATACCCTTTCAATGGCCACATTCTTAGATCCTTCAAGATCATTGCTTTCAAGGACAAAAATATGCTGACCTTGCAAGAAAAACATTATTTGTCTGGTCACAGAAAAGTTTTCGATTGAGCAACAAGCTTCTCAAGCTGCGTAAAATGAAAATCTTGTAAATATTAATACAATTATTCCCAATGAAAAATCAGACTCAGACAACGATATTTGGGCTGATTTTGACAAGGAAGCTGCCGTATTTCAACTAATAGGCACTAGCAAGGCTATTTTTGAGGTACAAAGATTTTTAGATGCGGACATATTAAATAGGAAAGAAAATCCATTAAATTGGTGGAATCAAAATAAATATGTTTCCCCGTCTAGCATTAGTGGCTCAAAAACGGCTAAGTGCAATTGCTGCATCTTTCCCTGCGAACGGCAATTTTCGGAAGCTGGGCAAATTGTTACTGAGCGAAGAAATCGGCTAAGCAGCACAAAAACAAAAGTCTTAAAGTTGCAAGGAATTTGCAATATTTAGTGTCATCGTTTTGTTTTTTAATTATTATTTTATGTGCAATATTTAAAATTAATACCTACTGTTTTTTTACTTTAAAATATTTTATTTATTTTTATATTTTCTTTAAGTTTATTTTTTTGTTTTGTTTCTAGTTTTTAAGCCAAATCTAATGAATCTATATCAAATAAATGTATATCTAATAAATCTATGTAATACCTGTTTTTAAATACAATAAAAAATATTATATAAAATAAATCTACATGTTTTATTATATTTTAAATATTATCTTATAGAATCGCAGTTCGCAGTTATAGCGCTATGCAATATGCATACATAACATTATTACCATACTTGTCTCAACTTATCGCTGCATTGCATTAATCGTATCGTATTAATTTGAAATCATGACGTCATTCGCAGTTAGCATTCGCAGTTTATATTCAGGGTTAATTATAAATCGCATTCACAGTAACAACTGCTAAAGATTATTCGCGGGTAAGCTCATCTCTAGTTGGAATAACAACCCTACTACTCATCAGTTTTACTCAACATACAAAAGATTAGCCCTACAGCACGATATTAAAAGTATTAAGGGAAATTGCATAACATCGGACAAAACAAGTATTTTAACTACAAGTTCATTAACTTCAATTAATCGTCAGGAAGTTAATATTGATGATATATCTATAATTAAAAAATATAATATGGATGTTAGCGACGTTATAATAATAGATGACAATATTAAATATTACATTGATTTTATATCAGGACTAACTATTTTAAAGAAACAAATTGATGCTATTTTTAAATGTCCCACATGTCTATTGGCAACTAAAAACTCATATTAGTTATACAGTGGACACCAATAATTCCATGTTACTGAACAGAAAAAGCAGAGGTGGTCTTATTGGATCTTCATCCGATTCCTTTTCCAGGAAAGTAAACACTGTCTTATACGATTATCAATTAGATAATCTTGTTATTCCCCGGATATATAATTACAAAGATTTAGGTATCTTATTTGACAGTAAACTGACTTTTTCGGAACACATTGAAAATACTGTACAAAGTGCAACAAAAATCTTGGGTTTTGTTATTAGAAACTGTAAAAAGTTTAAATCTTTAGAAGCCATCTTCTCTGTTTATTTTTCACTAGTTCGTAGCAAACTGGAGTATTGTAGTTGTGTTTGGAATACTAACCATTTAAAGTACATAAGTGCATTAGAATCTGTCCAAAGAAAATTTTTAAAATTTATTTACTTTAAAAAACATGGCCGTTATCCTATTCGTCACTATGATTATAATTTATTGTTGGAAGAATTCAGTTTTGTGAGTCTGAGAAAAAGAAGAGAAATAGCAGATTTATGTATATAAATTAATTAATAATTCTATAGATTCATCTTCTTTGCTGTCTCAATTTAATTTTCATATCCCACGTATTACGTCAAGGTCAAATATAACATTTCATATTCAAGTGCCAAATTCACAACATCACTTTCACAGTCCTTTAACTACAATGTGTAGAAGTGTCAATCAGTATTCTATTTCTAAAATTTAGAGAGCAATGTTACAGATTGGTATCAAATTAGGTAATTAGAATGTAATTTAGTTAAGTAAGTATTCTCAAACTTTGTATTTTTAAATATTATATACTCCTGTAATTGGGCTGATAAAGCCTGTTGGATGTATTAATTAATAAATAAATAAATATAGTAGATATTTGCATATTTTGAGAAAAAAGTTAAGATTTATATTAAATATTAATAATAAATTACCTCCAGAGTTAAACTTTTTTGCAGTTTTTATAAATAGTGTATGCACAGAACTATATGACAAAAGATTACTTAACTCATTAGAAACACATATTTTTGAAAATTTATAAACTGAAATTGATCAAATTAGCGGCAGAAATATATACAAAAATGAAATTGTATTATTTGGGCAAATAGCAGACAGAACAAATTAAGGGGTTTTTTGATTAGACAAAAATTGAGTAGGCTGATCTTACATTACCACCAATAATATTTTTATTGTGCTAAAATATCCCAAACACTAGAGTTTTTCTTTCTAAAATAATATAGTGAGAGACATAGTATTGTTACGCATCACCCTGCAGTAGCCTGCGGCTGTTATAGGAAACATACGAATACAAAAAAAGAAGTGCAATGTTACTCATCGCCCTACAGTGTGCTGCGGTCATCATAAGTAAAAGTACTAGTAAAAGAAGATACAATAGTCCAGAAATGTCTGGAAATGTCATTCCACGTCAAGGAAAAGTCTAGACAGTTCGAGAAGGTTAAAGCAAGCTATATAAGCAGGGATCCTGACGTCAGTTACATGTTAATTGTATAATTGTTGTTAAAGTTGAGTTGAAATAAATTGTGATACCAAAAACATGTGTAACATTGGTGACAGCGGTGGGATTTAAAATTAAGTTACCCATGCATTCTCTTCATGATAAATACTAGATCCACTGTGCACGAGACAAGCATGGATACTTCAGGTCCACCAGTATGGTTTTTGAAGATGGAAGAGGAAAGAGTAAGGCGAGAAGAGAAAAAGGTAAGTGTGGAAATGTTCGAGGGCTTTGATAATGGCTAAAAGTTTTTTCTTGTGACGTAATAATTCTTCTCAGCTGTTCCTAAGGTCTTACTAAAATACGCAATTACTTTCTCTTTCCCCTCCAGAAAGTAAGTTCCGAGAAATAGGACTATAAAACATCTTTAATCTATAATAGAACCAGAAACATTCTTTCTAACAGTTTTTTGCATTTTAGGAAAATAGTAAAATTCGCAAAGCAACCGAAAACACTTTTGAGGACCGAAATGGGCATTGTCCTCATGTTCTTGTTCTACTAAATATAAATGTGTTTTTATGAAACGCACACTATAGAACCCGGATTAACTTCATTTGCCTTTTAAATAAGATATTTTTGTGTACAGAAAACCATTTTTATGTAACTCCGAACAAGTAATTACAGCTACTTACAGTTCTAATAATAATAATCGTTTCCGTCATTTCGTTTAATCGAATAGCGAAAAAGCGCATCGACAATTTTATTTTCAGACCCATTAATGTATTCAAAATCTATATCATACTCCTAAAAATACACTTCTATCTAGTTAGCCTGGAATTTACCAGCCTACATGACCTCATAAACATTAATGCTTTATGATAATTAAGAAATGTCACATGGATATATCACTTGACAGCTGATCCATGTCGCGGGAGTTTGGCTCTTTTCAACGAGATTGGTTTCACCGATGTATGTTTGGCTGTCAGTATACTTTTAGTTTTTCAACCAATAATAATATTTATTGTTTTTAAACCTGAGTTACAGCAATGAGTAGAGATATAAAAAATTAGATCTTAAAACATAAAAACAACGTTATTCATTCAGTACAAAAGAGCGCAATTTAATATATTTCAAATATATTCAGCAATTTTCCTAGCTTCAAAAATTGTTATATTATGTAAAGTAAGCAGCAATGAGTTTACATTTTTAAGGCAAGCGATATTTTGCTTCATTGTTAAGTAAGGCCTTCTGCACACGGAGCTTATCGTCATAGACGCGTACAAGATTCGTCCTGCAGCGACTATTCCTCTACGCCTACCCTTCTGCACAC